TTTATTTGCTGAAATAAAAACTGAATTAGAAAACTATATAATTAGAATTGTGAGATCGATAAAAATAATATCTAACCATACGTTAAAGCACGCTATGCTAGGTTGAATATATTATGTATTCGATATAGCTATTAGTCTAGGGATTGTACAGTGATTAGTGCGTAGACTATAAAAATAATATTATGATAAAACAGTTTCTCACTGATAAGAATAATAACAAAGATAAAAAAAAAAAATTTAGTGAAGTCAAATTATTCTCCTTTTAGATGTACCCGTGAGTCGATAATGTAAAATCGACTACCTACTATAATGTACAGTCTAATAACGTATTTCGTTATGCATTATTTTACTCAGATACCTATAATTCTAATAAATATTATCTGCCTAAGGACGTTCTCTCATATTTTCATTTCAATATGATTTCTCACTTCAATATTCACCATTGAACACTTAATGTACGTGTCAATGTTGTAATTCTACTTCTACTACTACTACTACTACTACTACTACTAATACTACTATTAATATTGTGACGCATCACGATATTAAATTACTTCAGAATCCGAAATCAGTATTTAAATTTCGAACTAAAATCAAAGCGTCTTGTACAGTTGTAGTCTCTTCGCGTAAACATCGTTTGTTTATTAATAATTTAATTTCTAACTCTGTCGCATCAAAATTTAACGCGGAATGCTTAGTGGTTTATAAATTAATTACAAACTGATGGGACTTATATCTGTGTTTTTAATTAATTGTTCCACCTGATTGTTTAATGATTTGATATTTAAACAGTCTTGCAAAATTTAAAATTTAAATTTTCAACTCAAACATTTTTTCCAGGACGTCTTGATATACGCATTATCTAATGAAACTCTCAAATTTTATACAAATAATTTGAAATTATTTTGGAATAATGTACAATAAATCATTACTGTGAACCGAGCTGAAATGGTGAAGAGCTATAAGCCAAAAGTCATGATTTTAAACAAATTCTAATTGAAAATTTAATTCCGTTCTAGAACAAAAATATATTCAAAGAACTAACGTAAATACATCGCGTAGGCGTTGTGTTTGGTATTTTTTGCACAAAATATATGTTGACGTTTTACATGCATTTTAATTTTATTGAATCGAAAAGCGTGTCAACAACGATAACCATGAATATTATTAGTTGTGCTCCTTCAGTATTGAACAATAACCATGTTTGTTTTTAAAAATATTTTTAAACCTATACAGGCATATGAAATTCATGTTTTATCTCTGTTTGACACTTTTGCTGTATTTTTTATCGGCATTTTCAATAGAAAAACAGTGTAAACATAAACGGATTAGAAATGTTCCCCGCTGTGGTCAAACGTGCAATAAATTATCTATTATTGAGCGTAGTTGATATATTGTATTATATAGAAAATAAGTTTAGTCGGAACTGTGCACATAAATAATTTGTTTTAAACTTTAAATAATTGAAATATGTCGGGTTTATCGATCCAAGATGTGCAAATAGCGTAAATAGTGTAAAAAACATAGATATAAACAATTAAATTATGTATGATAATTTTCCATCTTCCAACGTCATTATGATGGTAAGTTATCAAAACATGTAATTCTTGAAACTAATTTTAGATACTTCAAAAGTTTATAACATGTTTATTTTGTATAAAATTATACATGTATAATTCGTAAGTTTGTATAATAGATTTAAGGACTTTGTCGTAGAAAAAATCCAAAAAAATGATCTTTACCTCAAGCCACCGGTACGAAAAATAACGAAAAAGAAACAAAAATTTCTTTGTAAATTAAAATAATGTATCATTAAATTTCATATAAAAGAAATAAAATAAAAATTAAATTGAAAACCAGATTTTACTTTTATTTGAATTACATCGGAAAAAATGCGAATTGAAAAGTTTTTAATTTTCTACGAGCACTCTGCAGCTTTAAATTGTATTGGTAAATTATTTTTTAAATTTTTATTGATTCGTTAATTGACACTAAAAATTGTAAATTTTGTTTTGCGTCATATTGCTCGTTCGATTATTTAAAGTATTACAATTTTAAGTCGAGTGTTCATAAAAATACTAGTAAAATTCAATGGAATTTGATTGGCTCTCTACAGAATTGTATGTTCTGATATTGTGATAAACGAAATATTCAACTAAATTTGACTTGCGTGGTTAATATATGTAATATTATTTGACTACCGAAAAAGTATTTCCTTTTATTTTGATCATATGGTTTTGTCGCAGTTAAAAAATATTTTTGATCCGACTCGTAAGTAATCACTTGAACAAAAATAACCAAACGGTACTGTAAATAAAATAAAAAAAAAATTAAATATGAACAAATAAATGCATTTATAATCTACAGCAACTATTTCCTGTGTGTATACAACATTTTGCCTTCGAGATCTCCACCCTTAAAAGAATCATAGAGAAGATTATTTTTCTCGAGTACAATGAGTTCAGATATTTAATGCTTAGATTTGATTTTCCTCTTGGACAAACTACAAATATAACGTACAATCCCTACATATTGGACATTTAATCTTAATTCGATTTTAGTAATAAAGCGATATTATAATAACGTATTCGTTTGATTCAAATTACGAGTCATTAAAGCTGATTACGTGATAGCTAGAATGCTTAGAATGAATATTGAATAGGTATGTGTGGCGTCTGTAGCTTAGACGTTCACCTGTTGAGTTTTGAACCGTTTTTTTCGGTACGGTTTTCGTTGCCTTTTTTTAAAATGAAATGTAATTTTTTCAAACTATATTGAACCATATAACCTTTATGAATATGTATTACCTCTATAGATATGTATAAAATCAAACTTTGCTATTACATAAATTTCCATATTTTTATAATCGCTGAGACTGTCAAATTATACTACTCAAAATGTAAAAACTTCTTTAAAAATCATAAGAATATCAATGTTTGAGATCTACTATTTATTTTCATCTATAGAAATCCTTTTAGGAAACTCAAGTAGCAATTGGAATTCTCGAGACCTAAAAAATTAAATTAAAAACAAAAACTAAATAACTCATAACTTATGCCAAAATATCATAACTGAATGGATTTTTCCTCATACAATAACCATTGTGTAAATTAAAACCATATATTATGCTTTATGTACTAAATATGTATAGATTGTATAATTATGTGAACAAAAGATAAAAAATTTAAAAGATAATGCGATGCATACGACGAGCGTGTTATTTTATTATTCTCACCTAATGGTTTGTTTTTGCAAACCACTGGATCTTAAATATCTCCTCCGTAATATCATTGGGTTGGCTATAATTGTGGTCCGTTTATATCATAAACTATGATTATTACCTACCCGAGTAGTAATCAAATACTGTTAAACAGATGCTTAATTTTGCTGCAAAATTCTACTGGTATTTATTATATTTCCTATAATTTATTTTCCACCTCTTATAACCCTACTTATAGTACCTACTAATATACTTCATGAGGTTCCATCAAATATCTATTTCGTTGTAAATTTACACATATTGGTCTAAGTAGTAAATCGTAATTTAAGAATTATTTATGTCATCTCTACACGTTCAATTTCGCATCTTTATCCTACTAAAACTCATGTTTTGATGAAAAAAATATTAAAATTTAATTTAATCATGAAGATCATCATTCAAAACAATAATTTATAACAATAAAAGTATTTAAAAAAATCTATGAAGAATACATTTTTAAATTTAATTAAATCGAGCAAAATACAATAAACATATAATGTAATGATAATTATAAAATAAAATAAACTTGAATGATATAATCTTGTTATCAGATAAATTATTTAATTAATTTTTAGATAAAATTTACTCTTTTTACGAATGTATTATGTTTACTTGCTGCATAATAATCAGAGACAAAACTAAATACGATATGTATATAAGGATAATTTAATCCAAATTTAGTATACTTTATAAAACATTAATTTTCAAACCCTTTAATTAAGAATTTGTATGGATGGAAATGTTAGGGTTTACAGTAAAAGTTTTATTTATAATATTTTATTTTAGAAAATTTAACGTTTCTTCTATACAAAAAAAAAAAAATACATTTTAAGTAGATTTTGACTAAGCAAAAAATAGTTCCTCGACAACCCGCGGACTTGAAATTTTTCTTAACGTCACAAGAAAATGCTGAATCGTGCTTTAGATTTTACCCTAGTAAGCGGATCAGATAATAAAAATATAGATGATAAAAAAAACGTGTGGTCAAGAAACAAACACGTCTTCTAGCCACGTCTTACGACATCACTTAACATTAAATCGTGTAGATAACGACGACATAATGACTGAAATTCAGCTACGCAAAAATATACAAATGTATACGTGTAACTTGACTCGGATATGAATTATGTACTTATACATCACACTTATACAAATATAATCCAGGGGAAATCAATTTACCCGGAGTTAGTTTGAACTTGAAAAAACGGTGGACATTTATAATGAGTTAATATCTACAACAAGGAGCACGGAAAAAGTATACGGTAGTAGCAATGTATCGTATGTTGCAGGCTACTATCTTCAAAATCATTTCGACTCGTCGAAAGTTCATTGGTCACGTACGCGATGTGATTTACCGTTAAGTCGCATTTACCCTAACCAGCTGATTAGCGAAAATACATACAGAATAATCGTAGACCATTTGATAAACCTATGTTATAGGATTTATCACAAGCAAACAAACACACAGCAGTCATCAGTGTGGACACTTGAAATTTTTTTTTTTCATAATTTATTCAATACAAATTTTATTACAAATACAACTACAGTCAATACGAATTATTATGAAGTATCGCATCGTTGATCGGTTAGCGTAGGAGGTTTATCGACAGAATGTGTTCATTATGCATTCATTAAACACGATTCGAGAGGAGAAAGAACCGCGACGGTTTCATTGTCCGTGGAAGGACCAAAAGAACCTGCGTGACGAGGAATAAATATGATGTTACGGTTTAACACTGACCTTGTGACGGGGCGTAGATGTTCAGATACAGACAGTCTTCGGACTGGTTACGCAGGTACGGCAGCAGGCGCTTGAGGTAGACGAGCCGGCCGACGGGCATGCGCTGCAGGGCCGCCGTCTCGTTAGACACGTCGGGCAGCCGTTGCGGGCACACGGGACCGAGCGTTTCGGCCAACCGGACGCCATCCCACGGCGATGGCGTGCGCGTGGGTCCAAACCGGTTGGAACCGACGGGCGGAGTGGCGTACGGCACGCCGAGGAACGTGTCAACGGTGCCGACTGCGCGGCCACCTGGACCACTGCCACCACCAGACACGGTCGCGTCCACGGTGCGCACCACGCCCTGCAGTTTTCCGTATCTCGTCTGGACGACGCGTGTGAGCGTGGCTGCGGACGCGGTCGTCCAGAGCGCCGCGGCGGCGGCGGCGGCCAATGCGACGGCCGCCACTACCGTCCTGGTCGAGCGGCCGCTCATTGGCCGCTGCCGGTGGTGCTGGTGATGATGCCGGTGATGATGCCGCTGGTGCTGGTGCTGTGTGGATGGTACCGATCACCTTCGGCGCTGTTCTCGGGTCGCATCGTCTGCCCGTGCGTTCGTGGCCGCCGACGACGTTATTTCCGTGGTGGTCTGCTGCTGGTCGTCAACGGTCTCGTCGTCCACGTTCACGTAGTTTCCCACCAGGTACACGATGACGGTGCACGCCAGGTACACGGCCACGGTGGCGATCACGTCGGCCACGCCAAAGCCCAGTGGCGATGAACCGGTGTCGCGGTCGCTGCCGACGATCGTTTTCATTCGACAGCCGATCGTCAGGCGCGTTCGTGCGTTTACGGACTACGGGTAGTCTATAACAATGAAATAGAATAATTTATTGTAATATATTATATATTATATATTTGTATCAGGGCCCGAATGTTGGAGCCTTAAAAGAGACATGATAAAATGTCTTGAAAAATGTATGCATATATCGCATGAAAACACAAAAAATTCCGTTAAAAGATTTTAAAAAATTGCCATAGTTATTTTTATTTGTTAACATATTTAATACTAAATATGTGTGTAGGACTGTTAAAATAAAATATATTTTTTATTTATTTTGAAATTCATAATTCCAATAAATATGTATATTAATATATATACATATTTTTACATACATATTTATATTTAAATTTAAAAATTGATTCAATAAAAAAAAAAAAAAAATAAGACAATTAAAAACCTATATAAAATAATGAAATTAATTAAACTTAGAATAATTAAATTTAAACTATTTTTTCTCAATTGGTGAACAATAGAAAATAAATGCCCTGAAATGTGAACAATTATCTTAATACCTCTAATCTTAGACACAATAAATACAAATTTTAACAAGTTACATAGATTTGTTTGTAGTCAGTGGCGTAGCCAAGGGGGGGCTAAGGGGGCTATAGCCTTCCCCATGGGCCATGTTTATATGTATAATGTATCTTGACTATTTAATAGAATCAATGTTCGTTTTAATCAAAGGCTTATTGATGTTATGCCACTTAAAGGACTTATTCCGGCCAATTTAAAAATGTATGACGATAAAAATATTATAAAAGCTACTAAAATATATGTCCAAAATCTCCATGATGATACCTCATCTACAATCAGGGTTAACCTGTTCATATGGAGGCAACAATGGAGTCAAAATACTATTCCAAAACCGAATTCTGCTCTTGATTCACTCTCTCATCGCACCAATCTTTGACCTAATATTAAAATACTTTTACAATTATTCGCCACGTTACCAGTTACCTCTTTCACTCCAAAAAGAACGTTTTCAGCACTTAATCGCTTAAAAATTTTTTTAAGAAGCACCATGTCGGAAAACAGACTGAATAGGTTAGCTATGGATAATATAAATAAAAAAGAGCAATTCCATGAAAGTGAAATAATAACTGAATTTGCCAGAAATTCACCTAAGAGAATGCAGCTGTCGGAGTGGAGCAAGTGACTGAACACTGAAACTAAAATTATTATTATTATTATAAATTATATATTAATAAATATTTTTAAAACTATACTTAAATGCTTGAATTACGTTTAGAAACTTGATGATAGATGGTGGGGGGGTTAAGGGTGAATTCTCATATCCTCTCTTACCTTACTTATCCAAAAAAAGTGGTTAGCCCCCCCCCCCCCCATTTAAAAATCCTGGCTACGCCACTGTTTGTAGTTGATGCATATTATAAGCTATATAAGGACTGTCTATGGTCATGTTAAGATGAATGAGTTGTGAATACCGGGGCTTTAATTACTATACATTAACTATAATACGGGTTTATTCAACGATTATCAATGGGAAACACAGAGTGTATGTGTGTATTAATTACTTCATAAACGATTTATAATGTGTTAAGTGAAACTAATACAGTTATTTTTATTATTTTATTTTTATATTAATTATTTGAACCATAAAACTCATATTACGTCGAGAAAAATGTATAAATCAAAACTGAAATTTGAATGCTGAGCTTAAAATATTAATTAAATTGAAGTTAAATTATCCATGCTATTGAATTCTGTAGCGTACGCTTTTTAGGTGCATTAAATTATTTACGTATTAAATTATGTATTAATTATGTATTAAATTATTTATTTAAATTAGTATTTATTAATATTATATAAAATAGCTTTGGACGCAGAAAGAGTTACAAAAGGTAGTTATAGACCAGATGCAAATGTTAGGAATCAACCAATATATTTCTTCAAAGATTTTGGGATTTATAACACTTTATAGTTTAATATTTCGAAACTAAACAATACAGCATTAAACATACATTGATAAGAACGTATATGTATATATCTCAGATTAGTTATAATATTAGGGGACCAATACATTTTTTTGAACTTATAAGGCAGGTTTTTTTACAAGAATACCAGTGAGAAATGTTAAGTCACAATAGATTGTACAATTTCATTACCCCAATACGATTACTAGTAGTTGTGCGTTCTAAATCATAACAGTATTTTCGTTAAAGGATATGCACCAATAAGGTTATAAACTGTGTTTTACTATTTTTATTTCCTGGAATTATATTTTTTGATATTTTTATTGTTACAAAATCACTTTTACAAATGATTATGTTTTTTGAGGAAAATGATCATAGTTTTCTCACTTAGTTATAAATGCTTCAGGTCCGATACTTTGACATAAATTGAAGTCACGCCAAAGGATTAGAAAAAAAAACAACGATGAATAGGAAGATTCGGTGGGGTATGATGTAATAGAAGTGTTTGAACAATATTTAGGTGATCATACGCCCCATGTCCTCACTGGAGACTCTGCGACGAGCGTATGATAACAAATTAATGAAATACACTTTTTATTTATTTTAAAAGCAACACCCGAGTGCGAGTTATGCGTTTATAGTTGTGTCCAGAGGTGGACGGAATGACAAAGGGTACAAAAGTTTGATAGCACCCGAGACTCTCTTTCATATTTATGTTTAGGCTCAGATTATTAATGTCCTACGACTTATTATTTATGTTTCACTATCATACTTGCATAGGTTACAAAAGAAAGAATATAAATAGAAATATACGACCTCGTTATTTTAGATCATCCAATTCGTATATGACAGTGTTAGAATCACCTGTATTATTGTGATATTTCAACCCTTTAAATCTGATTGCTAAATTATTACTTTTTAATTAATTCTGAATTCAATTTAAATGTATGTATTTTGAAAAGTTTAACATTAATTCAGCTACACGATTTTAAGCCTTATATTAATAACTTATTATTTAAAATTATAATTCTTCCCTGATTGTAACCTTAAATATATTTTACGATTGATCTTTAAGCAAAGAACACTTCTAAGAGTTTACCACTTTTAATTATTAATTAATTATTTACGTTGCCGTTCGTATGATACAACCAGTAATATCATTAATAGTTAACTTCGCCCCACAATACATAATTTCTTAATTTAATTTTAAAATGTCATTGAAATAAAACTGAGAAAATTTGTTATCTGGTATACACTTATTATTGCTTCAAATCATTATTCTATCTTCATAAGAAAACAAAATTCTTAAAATACACGTAGATTATGTCTCGTTCTCCATGATGTAATTATGATTAGAAAATTAAAAAAAAAAAAAAATACGTTCTTTTCGGTTTCATTAAGTCAGTCTCCATTCCCCGGGGGGTTCATATTGATCATATTCTATTTTCATTCTTCGCGTTATTTTTATTTTTCTATCATTAGCACTGCAAACACGTGCAATGAGAAAAGGATTATTAAAGTTTATTCTTATTTTTAAACCTACGAAAAGTTGTAATCCTTCAACGCGCATTACAATCCGCGATGCCATGTCACCTTATTCGCGCGCTCACAATTATCTCTAAGAAAATACTACGCAGGTGGCGGCAGAGTAGTGGCAGCGACTATGATGACGACGTTTTAATATAAGTCCACAAAAGTTCGTTCACATTCGTCGTTTAATATAATATCACATACGAACGTCGACCGTGTGTAATGTTTTTGTGTGTGTAAAAAGTATACACATACACTTGCTTTGTTCTTATTAATTTTAATACCCATCGCGCCTGGATAAAAACTTTAATATTAAATTCCTTGCAAAGCGAGACGACGCGAGTGAGTTCGAACTGTTATTAAACAAGCGTATATGCACAGAGGTGATGCAAAGTGTATACGAAATGTTTGAACGATAAGGAAATAGCGTCAACGGCGTATGTAATTAATATCACGCACGAAGTATAAATATTATAATTATTCACACAATGTTATTATTGTTCGTTTGATAACGCGTCAGATCCAAGCAGTCGGCACGTAGAACTTCGTCGAAACTACAGCACATCAACCAGGCTAGATATTTCAAAGGGTGGTTCCATTTTTCTCCAATATTTTAGACATTGTTATAGTATTATGTTCCGTATTATAAAGATTATTAAAAATAAGTAAGGTTAGGATCACATTTTGCGCTTATCGGTTGATGATTAAACTCTGGTATCGGCTATCTGTAACAGCTATCGAAAAACAGACAGCACTCACAGTTTATAACAGTCGATAACTTAATATTGTAATTTTTATTAAGCTAAAAGATACGTACATATAACATATGGACATATACGTATACGCTATATATGCTATATTGTGTATCAGTTATCACTGATTATTATGATTACCCACATATTGAGTGTGACAGACACACGAATTGTATACGATGCACTTGTATTAATAAGACTATATTTTCAGTAGCGTACTGTATGTCGACTAATGTCTATAGTGCTGGATATATTTATGGGTCTTTTGTTTCTATCGAATTTTAATTATTAATATGTTTGAAAAAGCGATAGTTACAAATATCTTCTAGCGTACGAGTCAAAATCTGAAATATCACGTTGGAAAAATTGTTTGACTACTTATCAAGCAGTTATATACACAAATAAAACTTTAACCGACAGTACAATTACTAAATTGCAAAACTGAGACATTT